GGCTAGCTATTCTCGAAACGTTCGTAGCCCTACGAACTTCTTAAGCCCATTCTTAACACATTGGCTACGATCAAAGTTAAGAATTCTTAAGGCTACGAACGTTTCGAGAATAAGGGCCCTGTTTGTTATCTGAGGCCGTGAGTTCTGGTAAGCAAAAACGCTCATATAGCATTCAAACGGAATACCATATAAACGAAATACAATATAACTTGAAAGCTGAATTGCTCGAGATGTCATTAAAATTCCTTAATGTGTAATAGCGCTGCAACGTTATTCTACTATCAGGGACAAAACCAGAATTTAAAGGAAGCATTTAAATGAAACATCGTACAGAGAACATATGTATGCATTACGCTGGGATTTGTGTTCAATTGCTTGTGTGTGATGACATTTGAATGTCGATTTATGTCTTCGAGAATTTAAACTAAGACACCCAGACAACCTCCATCAAGACCGGCACTCCTCCCTGGAATCTTCCTCTTAATGTGAATATTATCATCATATAAGTCTCTAGTCAAGGCTGAATCATATACATGAAATGTCATTCCACAGTAGTTAAAATACTATGCGTCAAGTTTAGTTGTAACAATTTTAGATTTAAAGTTGAAACTGGAAAACACAACAATATACCCGATGAAGAATGATACTGTGATTACTGTTTTAAGAAAAAAATAAAGACTGTGGAAAATGAAAACCATGTACTTTAGAAAGTGAAAAATTCTCTCATCTAAGAAGAAAATATCTACCAGCTCGCTTTACAGACTATCCACTAACTTGTGGTGGATAGATGCGTAGAGTGCGTAGATAGATGCTGGTGACTCGACTGTCTGGTCCAGCCTCGTTTAATTACGAACTGCCCAATTTCGCTGAAATTTTGCTGATTATTTGATAAACAATACGTGCATATGTATCCCCCTATATTTGATGTCCAAGGCATTATAAGCATTAACTGTTACATTCTCATGCATCAACATCTTTATGAAAGTATAGTCCAAATGAACCAATCAGAAGTCCTGGCAAGTATTTTAAGTAAGACAAGCATACTGTTGTAACTCACATATGTAACACTCACATGAGGCCCTTGGTAGACAATCATAACACAGAAACATTAAGAACGTTAAGTAGTTGCAGTGATAATGAGAAAAAATATACCTGTGTTTATAATGACAACACTGTCAATATACGAGGGGCTATCAAAACGTTTTGAGCCTAAAATACTTCTGATAATTGTATGTGCATGATAAAAATAACGTAATATTAACATGCACATGTCGCTAGTTTCCGGCCACGTGACATCTAATCACATGTACTCCTACTGAAACGGCAGAAATGGATAAGCTTGAGTACAGAGCAGTCATAAAGATGTTGGTCCTCGAGGCACACCCGGCGAAGCACATTGAAGAGCGATTGACAGCAGTACGAGTCCCAATATTACGTTTATGTGAATGATATAAATCATTCTTTAATACCTTACAGTTATTTTTATCAGGCACATATCAGAAGTATTTTAGGCTCAAAACGTTTTGATGGCCCCACGTGCATCTCGGTATTTATATCAATTATATATGTCCATCTATTGTTCATGCCATTATTGCACACATTTCCAAACCATTTCCAATGGGAATCGAAATGACCCTATCCTTCCTCGTCCTTCACTTGGACTAGATGTTAAGAATAGAGGTTCATATTCACCTGAAAAGTTACCGGATTATGAAACCATGGGTTATAGTTTAGATGGAAAGCTTTAGAAACCTTACAATCATCAAAAGCACCCTTCAATATTATTACGAGTTTGATTCCGTTTGGCAAACACAACGCACAAGGACGAACAAACTTCAGGCATCTCACCGATGATTCAGCTTAAAATATAGATGAATTAATATATGTTCACGAATGTGCAAGGATTAACGATTAGATTGTCTCTATAAATCCGTTTTTCTCTAAGCCTCTCACGTAGAAGAATTAATGTTTTATAGTAAGAGGATTCATACTCCGTTATGGTGTCGTTTTGCGGGGATTTAGTTCTCTTTACTATTATCTCACTAACTTAACGCTTCTTGAAATCTCATTCAAATACATTTTTGATAAACGTTGGATGCTTGACATTACAGCTAATAAGAATGTATCGTTTTTCTGGTGGTATAATGTACTATGACTGACATAAATGATTCCTAAAGTCTGAAGGAGGATCATTTGTAGTGTGTGTCAGCAGATGACTCCCATACGATATTAAACGTCAAGTACCTGATGTTTCATCCTGAATGATCATAACGACTTTTTTGTCTGAATATGTTACTGATAAATATTATGACTGTGGATGAAGAAAGATCAAAGAAATATTTGCAATTTCTGAAAGGATTGTATGATTTTTTGATTGCTAAGCAGTAAGGTCGACTTATGATCTCTACAACATTTAACAGGTTGAAAAGTATCGTTGAGCGAAATAGAAACGTTCATTCATTAGTATGTACTTGTGTAGCATGATGAGGACTCTTGTTTCGTCCATTTGGGGATGGGGTGGCCTAGTGGTTAAAACGTTTGCTTGCAAGGCATGGGTTCAATTCCCAACATCAGTATTTGAATTCGATATCAGAGAATAACCGGTGTTAATTATCCGACCAGCACAGATTTCATTGGGATCTGTCTATTCCAAAGCAACATAGCCGAGAAAAAGTATGTGAATGTATCGATGAAAATTGGTGATGACACCGGGTGGCCGTGAACAGAGTAAGCAAATTTTGCCCTTTAGGGTAGCAGATGCTCTGTCCACAAAATCACGGAAGCTATCAATTGCTGTACCGATAACACGGTCCATGTTGGTTGATGATTAAATGAAATAAACAAGATCAACCCATGTATATGTTCCAGTTGTCAGTTGAAATTGAAATAGGTGAGGTGAGGTGAAATTGGGTTTAACGTCGTGCTTGAGAATATTTCGCTCATATGACGACGTGCATGCGTGTGTATGTGTATGTGCGGCTGCTTGTACTAGCCCAGACTTAAGCTGGTTTTATAGTGCTAGCTCACTGAGATACCATGCCGCAGTGAAGCATGAATACCCCACTCAGACACCGTATACTGACTCCGAGCCAACCAGTTCTTGTTGTACCCATTAATGCCGAGCGCCAGGCAGGGACCAACAAGTACCATATTTTAACGTCTTTTGGTATGACTCGGTCGGGGATCGAACCCGCGACCTTCCGCTCTCCGGGCGGACGCTCTTACCACTACACCACAGAGGCGGTCTGAAATTGAAATAGAGGCGATGGGGTAGCCTAGTGGTTAGAGCGTTCGTTCGTCACGCCGAGACCCGGGTCCGATTCCCCACATGGGTACAATGTGTGAAGCCCATTTCTGGTGATCCCCGCTGTGCTATTGCTGGAATATTGCTAAAAGCGGCGTCAAAACATACTCACTCACTCAAGTTGAAATATGTAAAATCAGTATACATACAACGAAATGTCTTGATCCGTACAATGCTTTGCCCTGTGAAATCGCTCAGAACATCCCCCAAAAAATCACTAATGTTGTATAAGTAACGTGTCAGCCTTTTACACCCAAAACCTTTTTGGGATTTCCGAAAGTAATTCTCTAGAGATTCCGAACTAGCGGGAGCCACGTCTACAAAAAGTTACCAGTATAACGGAACTGGGACGACATATTTAGTAGCTCGTGGCTGCAGACCTTTACGTGTCCTATCTTTTCGTTTAATATACAAACACCATGTAACGCAAACATGCGTCGAAAGGAAATCGGTTATTGTGGTTTTGTTCCGTAGACGGGACGAGAATACAAGGATCTGCCTAATCAGATATATGGGACTAACTTAATGAAGTGTGTTTGGATTCCGGGCCGTTAACGTACGGTTCTGGCACATTCTGAGACAAACCACTGGCCATGTTAGCGTCGACCTCGACACAATCAGCGAGGCTGCCACCAGTGCAGGCTACATCCAGATACAGGCATACTGAGATCTGGCTATTGTTCTTACAAGTTGTAACATCTCACGAAGTTCTCTCAAAGGGAACAGATAACACAATGAGGAGAAATCAATGCTGGTAGACAGACACTGGGGTAGTCTTAGTATTGTACTGAAACAGCTTCAGCCTGGCATCTAGCATACGGCTTTGCAAATCATATGCCACAAGGCGAGACTTCGGTAATAAGGGTCATGACTTTTTATTTCCCTTTGCTTTCATCAATCATTTATTGTAACAGTATAAGAAAATTAGCCCAAGATATTTGATGAAGCGAGTGACAGTTTCCAGCGATGGAAATTGAAATAGGCGCACGAGGAAATGCATAAGGCGCGATTGTTCGCCAAAGAAAGGATAAATCTGCTCCTCCCTGCTACCGAAGTGCAATATACTATTTCGCGTCCGCGCAACATTAGATGGCATTTTGTCAATAAGTCACTACTGATATATAAGGTTGAGGAACGAGCGCAAGTCTCTACAGATCAATGCTGGAGAACTAACAAGAAGTCATTTCTCATTCTCTTAATCTTGACTTCGTCGCCCTTGCTGCCAGAAATCATGTGCTGAACTCGGAGGCGGGAGGCCCTAAACGCGAGCGGGCTTTTATTAGAAGCCTCGGTCACCTCCAATTACAAAGTTGCCAGACCTAACCTGTTGGAACTGCTAACACGACTACCAGCTAAGCCACTAGACCCAGAGCACGGCAGACAGAACCATTTACAACTATTGATTATGTTTCTTGAAAAGCAAATTAATGTTGGTAATTTCTGCTGAATCTATCAAGAATCTGGTAAAAGATTATCCCCTTCAAACCGGGTTTTGATGACATGATTATATAATTCAGATTTATAAATACAATTTGCCCAACAACTGTCTCAATGGTATAATACCGCGCTAAGGAGGATAGGAAAGCTCTGCCCTCCCAAGAGTCGGTCTATCTCTGTACTCTTGAAGGCCCTTTCACAACTCAGTCAATACTCTGGAGTTTCCGTGAAATTGACACGCGCTGATTGGATGTTTGTTTCCGGTGTGGTGGAGAAGAGGCGCGCGTGCGCTCGTGCGAATAGCAGACGATAGTTCCTTGTGGAGTTAAAAGGGCGGGAACAAAGCTAACACCCGAGTCACATGTAATTTTATTTCTGTTACTCCCGTGTTGAGGGCTCGGAACTATTTCGCTGGACTTCCATCATGGTTTGGGACACCCATTTGCTTGTAGTGGTAGGCGCACGTGCAACTGTGTCCCCCTGAATCATTTTATTCTATCGAAGTTGACGGACGCATAGCAAGTCATAATGATCCCATGGTTGTTGCTCAATTTGGATATAACTGGTAGTCTCCTGTTGATAATCAACTTCTTGGGGCTAGGTAAGTATATTTAATGTGTTGATTCATACGACCATCGATTCCATTTCCGTGGCTGAAGGGTTGTGCAAACTTTACCGAGAGTTGCTGTAATATGCTTAATATCATGTTCGTCGGTGTCTGAAGCTCGATTGAACTTTCATTTTTTGTAATTGTCTCATCGGGCCGCCCTGTTGTTTCAATTTCCTATTGGGAATATAACTGGAGAATAGTGATTAATATTAATGGCACCCACAACGGAATGAGGGGGATGACCATTTTTATAACTTAAATTATTTCCTTGGGTAAATAATTATGTCTTAACTGGAAAAACGATCAAAGCAACCAACAGTGAACCAGAACCATTCTGACCCCGATTCCTGGTTCATTTCTTATATAGCTTAACTTTCCTCTTGAATTAAATGAGCGATACCGCGATTATTTTATCGGCGGTGCCATCATGCAGAGCTTATAGATTTAAGTACAGCTTATAAGCTGACATAGTGTTATCGACTGTAACAATATAGCATTGTTTCATTTACACAGACGAATGCTTTATTCAGTTATCTACAATCCCCGATACATGAGAAACATCCTTTGAGATAAAATCTGAGCAGGTGATATAAATGTTCGGGTATTCTAACTTCATACATAACCCCTTTACACTTTAACGCACCAGACCTTGTTTCAGAAGGAAAGATAATTATATCCGTAATAGATCCGGCAGAACTAAACACTGTTATGTTTATTCACTAAATGTTCCATCGGGGATAATTGAGAATATTGCTATGATTTCAAACACAAAGCACATCTCAATTGTGTCCTATAATTAATCTGTTTACACCTGTCCGTCTGGTGTCACATTCAGGCCTTTGTAAATATTAACACACTTGTGTGCGTCTAAAAGGCATATTTGTTCTTATAAAGGCTGGACAATAATCGAATGGTTCTATCTTCAGCCAATGCCAATGTTTATAAACGGGGACTACTCAACACCCATGTCAACAATGTTATCTGGGTTACATGGCACCTGGGAGGTTTGTCACCTGCTAGGAAAATAATAGGCGTCAAGTTCAGCATAATAAGTCTTCGTTCTAATTGTCCTATTTCGTTCAAAGACTCGAATATGGTTTCTACTTGCTTTCCGATTTTAATGATTCTGAGGCAAACGGCATATGTCATCTGTACAATATGATACGTTTCAATTTCATTTTAACTATGTGACATCGTGTGATTACGCTTTGTTTATGACAGTTGTGGCATGCGCGCGACTCTAAAGTATAAAATATATGAAGTAACAAATAAGAATAACAGATAACAGCATAAGCAACACATACTAGAATATATATTTGATATTTCAAGCATTTGTTTAAAATACGGATTCTAAATGCTAGTAAGTAAGAGCATGTGTCTTTAAACTACCTGATCGAAGTGGAAATTTAAAACATACTTTCATTTTCACAATTATATGTCAGTCTACGTCTGGGGTCTCAAGAGACATGTACCTAACGATGGTACATCATGTTGCAAAACAAATTTGTTTTAGCAAAATACCCTGAGAAGTGTCGCAAAATATAAATGAAATATGAGATTGCATTTAATTTCTAAAATGCAACACGATACGTCACATCTTTAACATTGGTACTCGGGTTACCATTGGTCTTAATCATTGGCTTGCGAACCATCGTACTTATACGTAATGAATTGTGGCCCTTAATATCAACCTCGGAATTGTCTCGTCCAGACTGGGTTATTTGTATCAACAATGATGAAGCTATTTCGGTTGAAGACTTCGGCCAGATGAAGAAAATGATGAGGTTCCAACTGTATATTCTACATGTGATATTCGATGAGGACATCTTTCCATATCGTTTTTTTTTTCTTCACATAAAACACTTGACATAACTGTCACAAAAGCAGTGATACCAAAGCTGGGTAATAAAATATGGGTTGCATAGAAATTTTCCATTATATAAATTGCAATATGATATCAATCTTCTACATTGGCTCATAACAAATGGCAAAATATACCTTGTCAAATGTCACTGCAATATGATAGTGACATTGCCAAAATAGATTGTTCTAAATCAGCTGGAGATAACAGTTATTGAATACACAATGTAGTGAAAGCGATTGCAAAGCAAGCCAGGCCATCGATACAAATCATCTATCTACTTGTGAAACAATACACCCATAATGATTTTGAAGTTGTTGTGGAAAAGTTATTATAAATAATTTATCGGTATGCTTTCAATACGTATGATGTACATGTTTGGAGTCAATAGAAAGACAATCGCATTAATGTCTCTTCATTGTAGAACAAGAAGAACAAATCAGATATATATACCAACTATTCCGAATGACTGACCTTGTATGGAGCACATCCAATTATCAATGTTTCTGTTACTTCAGGAATAGAATGAAATACATTATTCAAACAATAGTTTTTGTCATCTTATCGGTTTGACAACGAAGACGAACTCACTATGTTCGTTCCATCGTTCTAAATTTGGAAACATGAAGCCTGTTCTTTAGAACGAGCAGTATCTTGGCAGTACGGTAAAGATAACACACCCTTCCATTCCCAATACTTCATGGAGTATAATGTCTGTTTCTACTGACGTTGGTTAGTTTCATTAACGACGTGTTCTGCATGTGGCCTTGGCCTTCACGAAAAGAAATATGAATGTTGGTAACAAACTTACCTCATTTGCTGTCGGTTCAATATCATTCTTATTACTGCATTTTGGACATCCATTGATTGACTTAAACACATATATTACTGTATGAGCTGTGGAACATGTTTAACTATTCTCACAAAGGTAATCCGAAACAGAAATCTATCAGACAAGCCTCATTAAGGCCACGGTTCGACGTTCAATCATATTTTAATGTTACTTATCTTGTCATCTAACTTGCTGTTGTCTTGGGTTGATGCCGTGATCATGCGGAAGCTCAGCGTGCGTCTCCTGTTTGGCGTTAGACGAGGTATGTTTTGTCGACCTACTTTATTAACAAATGACTTGATTATGTCACAACTGAAAAATGTCTGAAATATTGTAAAATATAGGGGTTTTTTGCTTCAAATTCTGAATAACCTAATTTCTGAGATATCATAATCTTCAAAGATGATCTACCGTATCAGTATCGTACATTCTAAGTCACCAGGGGCCCGTTTCACAAAGAGATCTTAGCGCTACGACTGTCGTAAGTCTATGTTAAGGTATGGGAGTTACGATCACCTTAGCGCTACGATCGCTTTGTGAAATGGGGCCCAGTATGGTGTATAAGATCCGTGTATCATTGCCGGAATCATATTATGGACATATCTTACGATTATGGAAATTGATTTTTCATAACTATTGATATTATTATTATTTACAATTTAAAATAAATCAATGCAGCAAAGAGAGTTAGCGTTATCTTGGCACAGGCAGGCTGGCTACGTTCATCACAGCTCAGGCCCCTTGTCTCCTTGTCCCTCTACACCCAGCCCAGACACCGAATGGGAATGGTGTCTGAGATGTAAGCGAGACATTACAAAGGCGAGGTCCGCATGTTCATCATGTTTTACCTGAATCGTGCTGAACACATTGCTGTCTAAAGGGGCAGCAAATCAAATCATATAAATAATTTCATTGGCTTTATCAAAAAGGACAATATTTGTTGCAGGAGTTTTCTTTGGTTGTACATGGCCTATTTCCAAAGATAGTTAAACGACTCATTTTCCATGACGCCCTGGACATGATCAGGGTCGTACCTTGGATGGACCTCGGGTAGTTTCCTTTATGATATACTGTTTGTGACAAGGAAGGGCATCCGCCGACAAGGCGTTAAACAGTCAACACCTTGTCAGTGTACAATAATGGTTTTATTATCATAGTTATTATTATTATTTTTATCATTTGTGACTCGAAAGACCATTGCCACACACCTTATCTCCGTGTATCTTGCGCCTCGAGAACTTTGACATTTAGGGTTCAATATAGATCCCATGGAAGTATTGCAACCTGATTGGTGCAATCTAATTATTGCAACTATGGCTGTGCAAACCTGGACGCATTAACCAAAGTCTAGGTGTATATTGATATAATTCACTTCACCAAATCCGTTAGCGCAAATTACCTCGCCCCAGAGTCCTCCCTGTTAATACAGAAAGCTGTGAAAAACATTGTTTAACACTTGTAGTTTCACTTGGAGGAATATCTAATTAATGGATTTCCTTTATTAGGGAAATCCATGGTTCTAAAGACGTTGCCTGTTCATGCACACTCGCAGACATGAGGGAAATTATAGCACAGTGCGAATTGTCCGCTAACGGCTATTGGGCAGTATTATTATGGGCCTAAGCTCCTTGACCACCTGCGGCCAGCCGCTTGCCCTTGTAATGAATGACATTACTGGACACTGAACATTGACGTTACAAACACGGGTCTTTGTAGCAAGTCGAGCATTGATCGTACAAACCAGATTGTGGATGTGACATTACGATGTCCTTTTCAGTGTCACCCAGTACAGACGTTGATTTTTGTCAATGTTGTGGAATCGGGGGCTTTGAATAGACACGTACCTATTGACCCTGCACATATTGCAAGTTAAGAGTGTCAGTGCATTTACTATTCTCTGATCATTTGAACATTATGATACAGCGTTTACCACATGAACATTTGACCTCAGTAGAATTCCTTGTTTCATCCTACACCGAATTTCGAAAGACAAATTAGTAGGAACGTTTTGCCGTTTAACGGATGTAAGTTCTTAATATCGTGTATAGTGCAACCTCCTTAATCAGGACCGTACCATTCCAAATAAGTCGTCCGAATTAGCCTAAAATTGAATTTACGTTTAAATTAACGATTTAATGGAATATGAAGGAATACCCTAACTACATCTAGACGTTCCTGGCAGTCATGACATGGGTATACAGGAGTCCGAACTGACGAGGTTTAACTTTATACACATGCATATGGTGACAGCTGAATCAGTTTTTTTGACTGTCATATCGCAGGTGAAATATGTATACG